GACCGGCTGTCCCGGACCTAAGCTCGGCAACAGTCTGGGATCAGACTCCTGCAATGGTCCCTCCCTCCGTTTGCGCCCGAGGCCCTTTGGGAGCTGGCTGATCCCAGAACTCTGTGAGTCACCCTCGTGAAGCACGGTTGGCTGCTTTGGAATGCTGGGCAACCTCTGGGTACAGTGCTGCGCTGGTACACACATGCTCATGCTCTCAAACACACACTTGTTACACGTGCTGACACAAATTCACAAACACGCAAACGCATTCACAGCGGCAGAGTGGATGCATTTTGCTGCGGAGTGGCTTTCTTGCACCTCACACTTTTGAAAGGTAAAGTTCCACACAATACTCCACTCTGCTTCACACCACCGGCCTCAGGACCAGCTCCCAGCTTTGGAAACGACCCTGCTTTCCGGCATTCTCTGCAAGAATCGAGGGTAAATGCGTAATGCAGGTCTAAACTACAAGCCTGTGTCACTCAAAGCTCTGGAATCTGTAGTTGGAAGCTCCCTCGGCGTTAACCACTGACTATGTGACCTTGGGCAACCCTCTTAGCCTCTCTGGGATGCCGTTTGCAGATCTCCAAGATAGGAGAAATAATAACAGCCACGTCTCAGAATAGTGAGCAACTTAATGAACCCTTGATGAGGCAATGGTGTAACAACGCCTGGCTATTTCGTAGTTACCATTACTGCTTTTATCACAATGTTCCAAATCGGAGGGACTTTATTTATGAAGTACGGTGTTACTAAACATACCTTTTCAATTTCGCTTTGAGTAGAAGGCTTGGGGCTATGGAGGCTCTGATTCCTTTCTACCAGAGGCTTGAACTTCTGCCATTCCCTCCAAGAGATCAGCCTCTACTGCAGAGGAAGTAGGTCCCATAGCAGTGAATCCTGCTTGCCAAATCCGGGCCTCCTCTTCTCCAGTTTAGGTGGGCCATCCGTGTATCTTCAACTCATGTTTGGGGGGGGGGAGTCGTGAAATGGAGGTGACTTTCTGGACTACTTGGTAGCACCATCCTGGAGGGAATACTGACTTTTCTCACCAAATTGGTTTGGGGCCAGCTCAGAGTGACCCTGGATGGGCACTGAAAATGAGGAGGCTGAACAATTGAGAATGGTCTGGGGTTTTGAGCTGCCCTACATAACTACTGCCTATCAACTCCCCATCTCTTAACCATCCTGCCCTCCCCGACTTCCAAATCCTACTCTCTCTCTGTGTGTGTGTGTGTGTGTGTGTGTGTGTGTGTGTGTCCATCCCTATGCGCGCCAATAACCGGTACCAGCCTTTCTCCTGGGGTTATGCCCTCCCCTCCTTTGCGCTCACTCTCCTCCCCGGCTCCAAACCAGCCGGGAAAGACGGGGCAGTAAATTGGCTGGTGTCGAGGATCTGCAGCAGACAAGATGATTAAGAGGCCTACGCCGGAGCGCCCCGGGCAGGGAATGTCAGCCCAAGTTGGAATCACGCAACAGGCCTTGGCATGAGCCGAGCCTGGGAGCCGGGAGGGCGGGCGGCCCCTCTCCGGGGTGGGCCGAGGCCCCACAGACTCGCCGGAGTCACCGAACCTGGCACTCGGCGGCGGCGAGGTCGTACAGGGCCAAGACGCGCCTTTCGCCCGGCAGATGCCAAAGGAGGGTGCAGGGACCAGGGGGAAGGGGGCGTTCCCGTGAACAAGAAGAAGGGCCAAAGAGGTCGCAAGGATGCACCCGTGTTCTAGAAGTGAGGGGGCGGGGAGCGGGGGGGTGGTCTAGGGGAGAAACAAAGACGGGCTACAGGAGGTGGGGGCCGGCTCCAGCCCCGCCGGGGGCGACGCGCTGGCAAACCTTTCTCACAGTCTAGGGGCCCGCCCGGAGACGCCAAGCCCTGTGATCAGCCCGCCGAAGCGCAGACACCCCCCCCTCGTGCGCTAAGTTGCGCTCCCTAAAAGCGGGAATGAAAAATGGAAATGGGAAGCAGAGATTTCGGTTCCCTGCACTGGGAAACCAGCCGCTCGCGGAGCACACATAAATCTTCATTGTAATCCACTTCCATTTACTCGTGAAAAATATCAGGCCAGACACAGGATATGACATGAGATGAGAAGCGGGGTCGGGGTGGGACCTAAGGGGTGCTCGGCTTCCCCCCTCCACACTCCCGAGGGGCTCCCCGCATGCCCATACTCGGGCAAAAGTGAAGGTACTGGATTCTTTAGAGCCAGCCACGGCCTGGAGATTCGGCGCCCTCCAGCTCCACTCCCAAGCAGGCGCTCCAGGAGCGTCCAGCTCTGGGGCAAGGCGGGACAACTGCTCTTTGCGTAGAAACCGCTCCGGCCGCCCCAAATTCCCTGCTCCAGGGTTGGGGAAAGGCAAAAAGGAGAGCCTAAGCATCCCATGTGCTGGGTTACAATATGGGAGCGTTTACAAGGCTTCCCCTTCGGCCTGCTTTCAGGAACACTTGTGAGAATTGTGAATACCCGTGCCTAGTAAGGATTTCCGAGACTGGTGGGGAAGTATCAGGTTTACTGGGGGGGGGGGGGGAAGAGCCGGAGAAAGTAGGAGCTTTGTTTACAAACAGTTCTGAGGCACTAGAGGCAGAAAGAAAGAAAGGGGGTATAGAAAAGGAAGAGCTAAAGTTAAGCAGCGTTTGATCTCCCCTCCTGGGAATCTTCTTTCCAGCTCCAGGGACAGCAAGAAACTCCCTTGCCTTTCAAAAGGCAGGACAGTACGTGCATAACCGAGAGCAATTGCTCAGCTCCAGATGCCACCGGCACTTGCTCAAAAGCCTCCAGCCCGCCCCTTTGCCTCCGGGGGAAACAGCGACCGCCAGTGGCTTTAGCCTATTTAGGGTCAGATTTTTGAGATTCAAACTATCGATCTTTTCCTGAGATAAACACAGACATTCCCTTCTTATTCCTCGTTGGAGTCGGGGGTCTCCGTAGCAGTTGAATGTGGCTGTCGACTCGGGACCATCTACAGCGAGGTCCTAGCTAAGGGACGAGGCTCTCCCGAGACTAGCTGTCTCTCAGTGCCAAGACACCCAAATCAGTCCTAAGAAGACCTCCTCGCAGCGAGTCTTCCGTCCCCTCCTGGGATATCTGCCTGGAGAGCAATCTCCAGCCCACATCACACAAACACACCCTAGTGCAGACGGGATGTGGAGGCCCACACCCCTCCGAAGCCCCCCGGCCCCCCCCCCGCGCCCCAGCAAGAGATCCCCTAACGGGGACGGGTTTGGCAGTGATTGCCACATTACAAGATGTTACATTCCGCCCTGGGGCCTCCTGTTAAGAGAGACTGCATTTCAGTAGGTTGGAGCCGGAGGAAGCAGGCAGGTCTTAGGAGCAGCCGCTTGGCGCCTCCACGTGAGAACGGAGAGAGTCTCCAGACAGACTTCTCTCTGGGGTGGCTTCCCACTTGTCCTCCCTGGCCAGAGCACTAACGCTGCAGCCTCACAGCCGTCCTAGTGTCCTCCAGAGTCCTGGAGTCCCGGGGTCACCGGGTATGTCATTATGTCCGACCCTCACTCCAGGAAACAAGGGAGGTGGAGAAAGTGTCCCCCAGCGAGACCGGAGCAGTGACAGAAGGCTTACAACTTCCACAGAAGCAGAGGCGAGGAGTGGAAGGGGCAGAGCGCACAGGGTGATCCTAAGGGGTCGACTTGGGTCGGCTCAGACCAAGCAGCCGGGCTTTCACACTCCAACTACTTGCCTCCGGATTTAGGTCCAACAGTCTCGGACACCATGAAGGTGAAACCGTTGCTTCCCCAAACAATGGGGGATGCTGCGGCTCAGAACCCTAGACAAGCTAAAGTTGGATCCTTTCGCCGGGCGCCTAGTTGTTCCTCCTCCTGGGGGACACTCCCCTCCCAGCCTCCTCCCTCTGCAGGCCTGGCCTCGGCTTCTTAAAGTCACAGGGTGTCTCAGTGCCCTACAGAAGCACCGCCCAAGTGGGGAGTAAGTGGGGGGGGCGGGGTGAGGGGAAATGCTGCAGGATGCAGTCTCCGGGCTCAGAAGACAAAACTAGAGCCCAGGTGGGCGAAGGATGGGCTTGGAGGACCCGCTAGCACATACCTTCCCTGCCCCTCCCGTTGTAAAGTCCCCAAACTGCAGACTCTGACTCCGGGGACGTAAGCACTGGGAGGTCACAGGCCTGTTTCCGGAGGTGACCTCTCAGCCTGCACCACCACCCCCCACCCAGGCCCCTAAGGCGCAGGCCATCCCACCCAAGGGCCTGCAAAGTTGCACTGTGGAGGAGGTGAAGGAGAATCCGGAAAAGGGGCCGGTGGAAGAGGGAGGAGGAAAAGAAAGAAAAAGAAGAAGGAAGTGTTGGCGGCGGGGGCGGGGTGGGGTGTTGGTCCAGTCACTTTTCTCAGTTGCTGCCTGTAGGGTGGAGGGACTGAGACCTCCTGGAGTCCCAGCCCCAGAGAACACGTAGCCAGGAAAGGGATTCGCTTCTCCCCACATTCTCAGGGGGTAGAACAGTGAAAATTTGTCTTGGGTGGTCAGTTTCCTCATTTGCCCCTATTAAAACAAAAAGCCCAAGAAATTCAATTAAAGCCACCCTGGCCAAGGCGCTATTTGAGGCTTGAATATCTCCCCTAAAGCTGCAGCAATCATGTGGCATTAGACACTTCCGGAATCCTATAGCCAACCTGAAAAATCCCAGACCCCCTTTTCCCCTAATTTTTGCTCTGATCTGTAATTTTATCCACATTTGCACTAGTTTGAGCATTCTGGCTCTCCCATCTGAAAGCCTGCAATTACTATATAATTCTTCGCAATTTCAGATGTCCTAATATGGACTGTAATTTTTGCGCAAGACAATTTCCTGCTATTTCAAGCATCAACATTGTCAAAGTTGTATGTACATAATAAATGGGAATATCAATGCATAGTTTTTAGCATAACATCTTGACTCCTCGATAATTATATCCGTTCGGAGCCTACGCAGAATTAGCCTGAATTGCATGGTAACTGCTGCTGCTTTAAAATTTTTAAAAATTACTCATAATTTTCCCAAAGATTACCAAGATCTCGAGTGCACAATGTCATCAGCGTAATGAAGAGTAAACATTTATGCTAATAATCTGCAATTTTTTTCATCAGCTATAAAGACAGAGGCTATATAGCCGAAAATTTCAGTTCTATTCTGCAAGCTCAGAGATGCAAAAAGCCTACGGCGCTCGGAGGCGCCTGGTCCTGGGGACCTCTTTCCTCCGCACTTACTCTCAGGACAGGAAGATGGGGCCAGGGGATTCTTTTTGGTTTTCTGGTTTTGTTTTACTCTGGTTTTGGTCGGTTTTTGCATTTTCCTATTTTCCTTTTTTTTTTTTCTTTCTTTCTTTTTTTTTTTTTTGTCTTTTCTTTCCTGTCATTCTCCCAGCCAAAAGCTGCCTTCGACCCTTTTGATTTGATGTAGCCAAGAGTGTGTGTCCAGATTATCTGAAATTGACACTGAAGAAGGTAAGGGTGGAAACCGGTTTCGTTTTTCAGAGGGTTGGAAGGCTGCTCTGCGCTGCCTGCCGCGGGGCTCCCGCTCCGGGAGTAGGAGGGTGGGGGAGTGATTATGTATGCACCAGCTAATTCTTCCATCAAAACTTCTTGTCAGCGATGTCAGGAGTATTTTTTCCCTTTTTATAAAAAACACTTGATGTTTCAGGAAGTGTTAATCCCTGAAGATTGTGGGGGGGGTAGGGAGAGCGTAGGAAAGCAATGGGTGGGGGTGCTAATGTTTCTTAAGCCTGGAGAAGCACCCTTTGGAGACTTTTGATCTGGGGGTTTGCTGTGAAGTTGGGGGCAGGAAGAAGGTTTCTGTGGGCCGGAGAGAAGGAGACCCTCACACTCTGCACTGCATTAGATGGGGTCTCCATGAGCTAGGTAACAGAAAAGTTTGCTCTCCCGCTATGATTTCAGACGTCTTTAACCCAGGTGGGGGAATGGCAGAACACAGATAACTCTGCAGCCAGACTGTCTGAAGAGAGAGGGAGAAAGAGGTTTACTAGATGCAGATTTATTGGGGGGGGCGGTCGATGGTTGCTACTTTCTGTCCAATTTTTCTTGACCTAATAATATCCAGTACTCAGACCTATCATTTTTTGGGCAAAGCAGATAACAATACCTTCAAGGGGGAGAGATTCAGTTAATATCTTCATCAAATGACACTACAAATTCACACTTTGGGGCATAGAGGTAGAAGGGATTTTGAGAACTTTTTTTGGTGATCATATGTAGTATAGAATCAGGAAGTCTGATGAACCATCTAACCTAGACGAGGTGCAGATTCCCGGGGAAAAAGAAATAAGAATGCAATCTAGTGATCAGTGAGAGCAAGCTGTGGACTCTTAAATATTTCCAGTTTTGTCTTTTAAAAATGTGGGTTCTGGGTTCTGTCACCAACAGATTTCACCACTCACAGGGCCACTCAAACCCATCCAAACTATTGAAAGCCAAGACCAGTTGGGTTGAGACTGTGCTTCCGCCCCACCCCCACCCCCACCCCCACCCCCCTTTTAGAGCTAGTGTCTGTGAGAGAGAAGATATTAAAGAGGTATCTGTTGTTTAGCAATTTTGCTAAGTCTGTCTTCATTACTTTGCCGCTGTGCATTTGCTAATTTGGAGGCCCGGCCATTGACAAGCTTGCTCCATACACCTGCAAGCAATTTGCCGGCTTCGGTACCGGAGAATTGCAGAGATGGCAGCTCGCACCTATTTGATTTTTTTTTTTTTCCTTTTCTCAATGCACAGCAAATTTGGCTTTCAGTGCGTTATCTCTTTTGTTAATGCAAAAAGATTCCCTGGGCGAAAAAATTGCTCATAATTACCAGAGAGATGGGGAAACTGCATTAGAATAAATAAACCTGAAATTACTGTAATTATGTTGTGTTTGATGGGCCCGGCTTGTAATCAAGAAGAGAATACAGTGAAATGATGCTGACCCTCTTGGGTTTGCAGCTGTACGCGCACTTTGGGGTCTTTTTTTGCAGAAAAGAGTCATTTTGATAATCATTAAGCTGTGTGTAACCTATTTCAGAAGTGTTTTAAAATGAGGTTCACATTTTTTGAACAAGGGAAAAAAAATCCCAAAATTGCATTTTGCCATTACAGACTCATGCATAAGGAAAGGTTGTGTTTTCTATGTGACAATTGTTAAGACATAATATTCGAAATCAGTATTTAATCATTATAATGAGGTATTGTTTAAATATAACCACCTTTAGATTATTCATAGTTTAATTAATATACTCATTATGAAAATCTTTGAATCAGATATTTGATGAACTACTTGTCAGTAACAAGGCAGCATTAATTAGGCCTATATTGAGATTAACATTTTTAAAAAGTACAACCGCTTATAATTATAATAGAGGCCTAACTAAACACCGCCTTCCTTGAGCTAAAACTAATAATTTCTCTATTTGAACTGTTAGCAAGAGATTATTAAATTAGTATAAGCTAATATCTCAAAGTATTAAAATCGGCTTGACCAAGCAGATTTTGTTTGTGGCTTGAGCGTTTGGGGACTAGCTGTTCTCTGGTGGACTGAGTGACATGAGTGAGGAAAATCTAGAGAAGTCACCTTTCCCGGGGAAACTGAATCCAATCCAGGCCTGGCTGGATTCAAGCTACAGCCTATCCTCTGGGACCTAGCCTGAGAAGTTGCCTTCCTCAGTTTCAATCCGGGTCCATCCAATACCATCTTGGGCTGATCTCACCCCTGAGTGCCACTTGGTTCTGACTTGGCCGCCGCTGGAGGAAAAGCCCCAGTTTCAGTCCCAGAATGGGCATCGAAGTCCCCAGTTTCATTCAGCCCTACTTCCTGGTCTTCTCCCATTAAACGGCTCCCCCTCCAGTCCCGCCACTTACTCCTCCCCTTCCCAAAGGGCGTCGGAAGAGCTCCGCGCATCTGATCTTTCACCAGCACCAATTGAAAAATGGGTGCTTGTCACAACACAGATCACTGCCTTCCAGGCTCTGCTCCCCACCGCGCGCCGGAAAGGGCCCCCCAAAGGCAGAGGTCCAGCCCCCTCGAGCGGCAGGCGGGTGCCAGGGAAGCAGGAATCGCGCAAAACTGGCCGTCGTCGGGGCCCAGAGGGGCTGGGGCTGGGCTGGGGCTGGGCTGGGGCTGGCTTGGGAGCTCAGACCATAAGACAAGTAAGGGAGTCAGCCTGGTTCTACCCTCTTGGGGTCACGGCTCTTTTGAAGCAAACAGCCCCAGCGTTCTACCCCAGGGCGGTGTTCTGAGAATGGACTGGCATCTGAAACGCAGGGCTGTGGTGGGAGCGATATGACTAAGGTCACTCTGGGTCTCAAAAGTCACCAAAACTCACTGTGCTTTGACATTTCCAATTCGTGAGTATGTAGAGAGAAGCCCCCCCCCAGGTGTTAAGCAGGAATGGGACACCCCCGCCCCATGGAAGGACCTGGTGGCTCCCTGGGACTAAGTCCTATCCCCTAGGACCTCAGTGATTGATTGGGGCAGTGGCTTGGAAGACGCGCGCTTCCTGCCCCTGCCAAGATGCTATCCCATGCCTGCGGTCAAGTGAAATCTGGCAGATCAGATCCAGGCCGGTAGAGGCTGGGGCAAAGCAGGGTGGCTCTGTTTTCCAGGGTTCTTGAGAAGTGACCGGGCACCAGGAGAGAACTCCTGTCTCCCAAGCTCGCGGTTTGGGTTCTGTTTTTCTCTCGGCAGTGTTTCCATTTTCCATCCCCTGAGGTAGGGCTCTGTCCTAAAACACCTGCTCCTGAGCCCTGAGCCGAAGTCACCAACTCTCTCTAGGCATGCCTTCTCTCCCGCCTAGGCGAGGATCCCAGGCGAGGCTGAGAGACCAGAGGTAAGGGGAACAGGCTTTTGGGGCACCCTCACAGACCTTAGGATGGCATCTTGGTGGCATGGTCAGGGTCTCCAATCTGTCCCCAGTAAGTAGATATGCCTATGGTAATGTACCAAAGGGGAGCGCACAGCACGGGACTCGACGGCTCTAATTTCGTGAAATCATAATTTTACTGTCTCAAAGAAACTTTATAACTTATTTACAAAGTTTCCCTCCCCCCAAGATACAAAGCAATAAGTTAACATTCTCAATATAAAACTAAACTTTGACATAGAGAACACAAAACACGGTTGATTTCAGTTGGTCACATTTTCCAAATTTCACAAGTAAAATGTCAAGATTCTCATTTCACAAAGCATCGGGTTTACAGCCACACACGACAGAACAGAACGAGGCTAAGTTTGTGCAACATGTTTACAGAACAATAATAATTAATAATTAATAATAATAATAATATGTACAGCAATTAGATTCTGCACCAGAGACTGTGCGTTCGGGGTGATGACTTGGGTTCTGTGGTCGAGCCGCTGGGGATTGTTTGAAGCTGCTTGTGTCTTACTTCAAGGAGACCTGGAATTGGGGCGCTTTCACCGGACTGATTTTTCTCTCCAGGGACCGGTGGTCCTCTCTCTAGCTGCCCAAAGCATGCTTTCCCTCTTGTCCATGCGTTCCTGACAAAATCCTGATGGCTTCACTTATCTTTCTTTTGTTACTTCGCTCTTTCTTTTGCTGTTTGTTATTAGTTAATAATTTGGGGCATGTAAAATGCAAATCATTCTGTTTCCACCGCTCCATTCCAGCAAAGCACAAAAGTTACGGTGTACCTTAAAAACCACTATCCCCTCCTTGTTCTCTTTTCTGGTGTACTAAAGGTAAATAGTACGTTTGCACAGTGCCTACTCCATGCCCTAGAGAACCTGGAATTGGCCAACACTCAGCATCAGATAAAGTCTGTTTTTCAATAAATTAACCCCCCTCCCTCTGATTTTCCCATTTCCCAAACAAGCTACACAGGTGGTCAAGCAGGGCCCCCGGAAGAAAGGAAAAGGCGTTCCAGGATGCGGTGATGGGCTGCCGGCAGACCGGTGTGGCTCAGACCTGGTGACTTTTTGGAGAGGCCGCAGAATGAGGACAGCAGACACGAGGACCTTGACTCAGCGCACAGACAGTGCAAAAAGGAGACAAAGACAGACAGAACCGAAAAAAGAGCATTTTCCCCCTCCTACATATTTTTTTCCTGATAGTCTCACAAGGCTGAGAGTCTGGTCGGGTCCAGCAGGTTGTCTTGTTGCTCGTTCTCCAGTGGCCATGCCTGCTTCGAGGCCACTCTGCTGCCACCGCATGACCCAAATCAGGTTCAGGCCGAGAGCTGGAAACTCGCTCGGCCACCAGACCTTTAGGGGCTCCCAGGAGGCGGCAAACCCTCGTCACCTTTCCTTTTTTCTTTCCTTTTTTCCCTTCCTCACCTCGGGGGTCCTTCTCCTCCCAGCCCAGGGTACTTGAAAGGGTGGACGGACCCGGAAGCGGGAAGGGCCGGGCCAAGGGAGACTGGAAGGAGGCGTGTGGGTGCGAACTGATAACCTCACATGAGTTGAGGCTGCTGCATAGCTTCTTGGTGCGCTGAAGGATACCATGATGTGTAGCTGGGGACATAGGAGCCTGCACTGCTGCCGGAGCTCTTTCCAGAGGAGGAGTTCGGATTCCAGCCGGGTGGCACTGGTGGGGAGCCGGCAGACAGGGCTCGGCCATTCGCCAGGGAGCTGCCCTCCAGAGCTGCCCCGCCTTGCTTCATCAACTTCTTGAACTTGGAGCGTTTGTTCTGGAACCATATCTTGACCTGCAAGATCGGGCGACAACGTGACTGGACTATGACCACTGGGTCTACCAAGGCCTGGGGAGGAGGGAAGGGACTGGTGGAGGAGAATACCTGCCCTCCTGCCTAGAGGGGTAGAGACCACTGCCACCCCCCTAACCCCCGCGAGAGCCAAAGGCTAGAAAACTGAGCCCCCAAGTCCACCATTGCTGATAGCCCTTAGTTCAGTTCTCAAATAGGGGGTGGGGTGGGGTAAGAGAAGGGGAGACCCGGGCCTTGGCTTGCAAGTTGGTCAGTGCCACTGGGGCTGCTGTTTACGGAAGACCCCTTGCATGCAAAACAATGCAATATCAATAAAAAAATTAAAACCGAGATAGGAATGTAGGGCATCTATTTACAATTAGGCCACCTTGCTTTTTCACTCAACTTTCTGCCTTTGGATGAGTTTAAGAACTGATGGAGGAAGCCACAGCGGGTTTGTTAAACTTTTCTTAGGACTCAATCCAACTCCCCCCCCCCCTTAGGTGTGTTTGTTTTCTCCAGCTCCAATCCAAATCTAGAGACAGACTTTGGAAACCAATGTCAGCTCCGGTTTGAATGTCTATGAGCTGACCACAGTCTTAGAGAAATGCAGGAAGAAAAAAAATCTCAAGTGCATATTTTTTTTCTTCTCTCTCTCTCTCCAGGATCTGGGACTTGGAAAGAGCAGAGGGAAGGATCCCTCTTCTGCCACCTCGTGAGATTTAGGGAGGGAGATTTAGGTTTAGGCTCAGGATCCAAGCGATTAGCCACACACTTTAAAGGCAAAGGAGGATTAAATCCCCTTTCTATTGTTCCAGTTGTTCAGGCACGTGTGACCTCAGAATCTCCAAACAAAACGTGTGGAGAAATCCTTCCTGCTCCCTGATCAGAAGTCCAGTGACCGAAGAGCAGGCGGCCTGCAGGTCAGAGTAGGGTCCGAGCTAGGGCAGACAGCATGTGGGAGGAAGAGGAGACTCTGGAAGTCAGAGGTAGACACACACACACACACACACACACACACACACACACACACACATTCAAGCACACACGCGCGCGCACACACACACTCAGTGACACCACGAGTCAGAGGCCCAGTGAACAAGAAATTCGAAGCCTGGGGCTCAAGCCCAGCTTGGGGAGCCTGTTTGGCAGAGAGGCAGCGACCAGGTACCTGAGTCTGTGTGAGTCCCAAGGAGGCTGCGAGCTCCGCCCTCTCAGGGAGAGCTAGGTACTGAGTTTGCTGGAATCTCCGATTCAAAGCCTGCAACTGCAAACTGGAATAAATGGTCCTGGGTTTACGGATCTTTTTCCCTTTGCCATTAAAGCGCACTTCACCGCCTTCCACCACGGTGCTCTTCTCGGAGTCCGCCCCTGGAGGGACGACAGAAGCAGATACCCATGTTAATTCTGGACTGCCTTTAATGTGGAGGGACGAGAGTGAGTGTCTATGGATGGGCTGGTAGAGGCAGGGTCCGCCAAAGAATGTTCAAGAAACCCTGAAAGACTGAAAAGGCTTCCTCAAGGTCCGAGCGCAGGTCCCTGGCTGCGGCAGATAGAATTGGGCCGATCCCAAGAGAGCAGCTATTGCCTTTGCAGGGAAAGTTTGCTATTTTTGCAGGCGGTAGTTGAGGTTTAATTACCCTTAATTGCATACATTGTTTATAGCGCTACGCAATAAATAATTACCGAGACTAATACGTGCACATGTGGGTTTCTGTTCTCCAGCAGGGCATTGTGTGCTCGGCGCACCGAGCAGCCCGGAGGCCCAGCCAGTGCCAGGAGACGCGCTCGGATTTATCCTTTGCTGGACAGTTGTAAATTGAATTGACTTATAATTTTTTTCTTTACAGTGACAAGGATCCATAGATTGATATCCGAAACCTCTACTACTTCCGCGCCTTCCCCACCCCCCCATCCACCTCTCTCTACACCACTCTTCTCTCTTCTCTTCTCTTTTTCTCCCTCCCCTTCTCCCCCTTTCTCCTACCCTTCTCTCCTTGTCCCTGGCAAGCGCACGTACCTGGGTCCTCCAGGCGGCTCTGGGCGAGGCTGGCGCTGCCGGGGTAGGACTGCACGGAACTGATGTAGGGGCTGGACGCGTGGCTGCTGACCGAGTTGACGTAGGGGTAGCCCAGCGGTCGGGAGAAGGATGAGGCCGAACTGTAGGCACTGTCGGGCTGCGAATGGCCCGCCGAGTGTAAACAGTGCATGGAGTAGTGCCCGTGGGACATGGGAGAAGGAGACATTTGCTGGTTGGGCGGCCCAAACTCCATAAACACCGCCTTGCCCGACACCGGGCTGTTGAGACTTTCTGGCATGGTGGTCATGGTCATCTCTTCTCGCGGGGTCTGGGTGTGGGTCTTTCTCTCCTCTGCTTCCCTTTTGGGGGTCTCTATGTTTCTCAGGACAGGAAGGAACCCAATTTAAGCGGAACAGGGGTTTTCACTTTCCATTCATAAGAAAATGGAGTTTGTCTCTTTGAAAAGTCTAAGCATGATGCTGCCGAGCTCCCCAAACTCGGTTCAAAGCTTTGACTCAGCCAAGGTCATAAATATTCATGAGCTGGTGGAGCTGATTGGTCGGCTCTCTTGCATAATCACCGGGGATTGGTCCGAGAAGCTCCGGCTTGGCTGGACTAGAGCGGGCGACGCGGCCCGGCCTGGGGAGAGTCGGGTCCACGAGTCCCGGCCCGGGCTCCTCTGCAATAGAGCGCGCGGAGCGTGAAGCACAATGGGCTGCGGCGTCCGGGCTGGGACTTTGGAGGCCCGCGACTCCAGCCTCCCGCCTCCCTCGTGCGCTTCCCGCCCCAGAAACCAACCAGCGGCTCCCTGCCGTCGCCCTCCCCCTTGCTGTCCCCACCCTTCGCCCGCCCCCAACTCCTGGGACCCTGGACCACTTCTCTCGGTCACCCAGTCCGGTGCAGAGCGCAGCTCCAGTTTGGCCGTGGTCTCTCTGGGTCGTGAGGACGCGCACTGGGAGACAACCCAGGTAGCCAGCAGCCAGCGGTTCTCCCGAGCATCCTATGCCTAGCTCAGCGCGCTCCAGGCCGCACTTCCCAGGCCGGGGTCCTCTCAGCCACATCCCGGGGATCTGGGTTTGGGGACCCTCTGGTCCAACTCACTCACTCGGCCGCCGCGCCGCCGCTGCCACCGCTCCCAGGGGCTTGCTCGCATCTCTCCAGGCCCAGCTGGCCACTCCAGCTCGAGGCTGCACGGGTCTGATCAAAGCAGTGCGCTTGAAGAGCCAGGAACCCGCGCTTCTCCTCCCAGGAAAGGCGGCCGCACCGCCTCCCCCCTTTCCCTCCCAACCTTTCTTCCTCCCCCTCCCCTCCTCACTCCCCCTGAGCCATGCGCCCGGGGCTCACTCGCCCCGAGGGCGCGGCGCAGCGTGGAGTCCTGGGACCTGCGGGCGCCAGGCGGCTGGAGGGTCGAACACTCTCCAGGTGGTCATTTTCCAACCTCCTGGGGTCTGGCCAGACTACTTGGGGTTTGGGAACCCTGGCAGGGGGTGGGGGACGGAGAGAGAAACCCTCAGCAATTCTAAATCCGTGGTAGGCTCGAATATTTGTGTATAGACATGCTCCTCTTTGTCGCCAAGTCTCTTCCTCACCTCCAGTGACCAAAGCTGGCGCCTCCAGGCCGGGGTTGCGTCGAGGGGCGCTGGTTGAAGCAAAAGCTGCCAAGGCGCGGTCTACCTCGGTTTTGAAAAGTGTACAAAAGGCCCCCTCGCCCCCACCCACCGCTACCACACAGCCACCCCGCGCGCCGCGGCGTGGCGCAAACTACGCTGGTTGCTAGGGACTGTTGGTTCCCAATCCCTCCAGCCCCAGATGAATCCCAAATTACTTTGTTAGGTAATTAGAAAGTGTTGATAATTATTTCTTTCATAATTTAGCGGTGTGACGGAGGGGGGGGGACGACGACGGGGAAATGATCTTGTGAAAGTTCACACGTGCACACGTATTAGTTACTGATTCATTTGATTAAATGGTAGTCTCAAGTGCTCAGATCCGCAGCTGAAGGCGCCCCATTAGCATAACACTGATGTTTAATTTTCATACGCATAATTAGCCATATATTTAACACTAATAGCAACATGCAGCCTTTCAGCGTTAAACAGCCCGGGATTTGATCTGGCCTGAGCTGAACCTTCGCCGATGCACCTTCCCCTATCTGGAGTGCGCAGTGATCACAGGACAGACCTCTGTAATCAAGCACATTTTGGCAGAGGGAACACCAATAAAAATGAACATTCAAAACAAATTACATCGGTGATATCGTTACAAATATGAGTACAGGGAATTCTCTCTCTCTCTCTCTCTCTCTCTCTCTCTCTCTCTCTCTCTCTCTCTCTCTCTCTCTCTCTCCTTCAGCAGCGGCTCCTGCCTTCGGGAATTCCTCTTCGGTTTAAGGGCATGAAGCTGGGGGCAGAAATATTTCATGCGTGTGATGGAGCTGGAGAGAGAGAGAGAGAGAGAGAGAGAGAGAGAGAGAGAGAGAGAGAGAGAGAGAGAGAGAGAGAGAGAGAGAGAGAGAGAGAGAGAGAGAGAGAGAGAGAGAGAGAGAGAGAGAGAGAGAGAGAGAGAGAGAGAGAGAGAGAGAGAGAGCTAACAGTTCAAATTCTGTAAACCAATAAAGGGTTGTCAACGCCTAAAAGATTTTTTTTTCCTTAATCACCGAACCACACGGTGAGGCTTTGTAGCAACAACTAACTAATGACTCCACCACAACTCCTGAGCCATTCGGCTGGTCCTGATTTTCCTGTCGTGATTTTAATTGCTCCTTCTTAGCGCCTGTTTTGGGGTGTGAAGTGCGGTCCGGTGCGCCCAGTGCAGCCGCTTGGATGCTGTCAGAACCGGAGGTCTCTTCGCCTTGCGGGCCTTGCCCACGTAAGTGATTGCTGCGGTGTGTGCCGGGGTCGATGTTGGGACTGGGGAAAACTGTTCTGGTGACTCTTGGAATTTTGTACAAGGCCCGAGAACATCCGACAGTCGGACTGCCTAGGGCGAGTTTATCCCGGAAACTTGCGGGGTTGGGGAACCAGAGAACTTCCACAGTATACTAGGTGCTCTGTCCTTTCACTTAGCGGAAGAGACCAGGCTGGCTTCACGGAACCGACTGGCTCGATAGGGTTTCAGAGACTGGCATAATTTAGAACTGAATTGTGAGGGAGCACACTCCTGAATTATTTCCTAATCCAAGGAAGCAAGCGAGTCTAAGGAGAAGCTGGGCAGGGCCGCTGGAAGAGTACACATGCCTCACCTAGCTTCATGAAGTGAGATCTTATCTCTACTTTGTGAGCCCAGAATGCATTCCTCTGACTGTCCCAACTCCAAGGCAGCACCTGTTCTAAATGCTCAGACCATTTCCAGCCCCATGAAAGAAAATCAGAATCTTGCACTGGTCCTGAAAGTTCCATATAGGGAACTGAACTCAATGGAGTCACCTCAGGACCCAGCAGCTCAGGTGGTAGCCAGCCAACTCCTCCTGACTGGAGTTCCCTCCAGGCTCAGCCAGGGTTAGGTGTCAGGTCAGTTCAGTTGGCCAAATGGCGAGGAAGCGGGCAAGATGAGGCTCTTGAAAAAAACAACAACAACAACAACAACAAAACCCAACCTACTTCCTAATCTCAACTCCAGAGAATGTTACACAAAATTCTTTTAATTCAAGTTTGTCTCCTATGGAGCTGCTGAGTTTAGCAGTGCAGGCTAGATTACTAAATCAGATTATATACTTTCCCCATAAATACCTCCACCTGCAATAATTGTCCCGGTGGTTGGTGAAATCCTGTGGTCCTAATAAAACTATCCTTAGGGGGACCTGGAGTAAACTGATCTGCAGATAAAGACATGCTAATCTGATTGCTCTAGGGAAGGAGAAAGTCTGGCAAAAAGCTCCTAAGGGCAGCTGGGCCCTGTTCCTCTCCTGGGAAGAGGAATTGCTCCATTGTCACAACTCCAGATTCCGACCCTTCAGAGCACCTCCAAAGTTTGTCAGTTGACCTTATATATCCCCATTCCTTCTTGCTCTCACACAGACTAGGGTTAGAATCACCTCCATAAACAGCTGCAATCTCTAGGTGTAGATGAACTGATGTGGAGGGCTGGACCGTGGAGCTTCCTGAGCTCAGAGAAGAGCTGGTATCTGTCACTTGTGCCTGCCTTCAGTATCCCGTCTCCTTTTCCATGGCTCTGGGTGTCTGAAAGTCAAGCAAACTCCTTGCGGATGCCTCTGGTGCCCTCGATCCTGGCAAGTATAAGACATGTCCCTGGCTCCCTGACGACCCAAGCTCTGTTCAGACTGTGGTCACTATGCTATCCACAAGAACACAAGAACCCTGATGGTCTGGACCTCTCTAGACGTGCCTTTTCTAACATGCCCAGAGGGAACTGGCTTCCTGTGAAGCTCAGCCTGGCCCGCTCTGGACTGAGGTGTGAACAGATCCCTGAGAACAAGGAATGCAGAGTGCTCTGGGCAGGTTGCTGCTGCAGGCTAGCCGATCCGTAATTAAAGTTGATCGTTCCAGATCAGGCCAGATAAGCCTTGTCTCAAATGTGTCCGGTGTCTCCCCTTTGGGGGATCCTGTGCCATCTCAGGAATACCTGTTTGTATAGCCCAGGGAGCAGGGGAGTGCCTGTCCCAGGCCAGCAGGGGGAGGACAGTTTAAAGACCAGCAGGGCTCTAAACTCAAGAGCCACACCTCTGAAGTATGGGACTGCAGCTCAGATTTTCAGCACAACAAATGATGCAGTGTGGGGTGGTCTCAGGCTGGGAGGGGACGGAGCATGGCGTGGTTGCTGATGAAGAGCCTCAGGGGTCTGCAAGGTCTTGTCTGGACTGCCAAGATCTTCAGAAAGGCTAAACTATGGTCCACAGCCAAGAAAACATTTGTAGGCAATGCTTCCTGGCCAAAGCTTGATGAAGGGGAAACCGGGCAGGGGGTGAAGCAGGCACTGCCTCTGGAGGGGCCCTCAGACTCAGCCAATTTAAGACCCCCAAGGGGAAAAAGCAGATTAAAGCAACGTTTTCAGTGAACAGGTTCTGTTTTTCTTTCTGTGTGCATGTTAAAAGTTTGAAGATTCCAAAACTAATCACCTGCCCCCTTCCCTTGGAAACCGTCACATGTAAAGTGAGAACACAATGGGTTTAAGAGTTTTTTTGGTTTTTGTTTCATTTTTTAACTTGGGTAGAATCTGAAATGGATTTCAGGGAAATTAGAATGAGAATCACAGAAAGGGCAAACCACCTGCCCAGGAAGATGGTTCTCCAGGGTCCCCAAAGCCCTGTCCTCGATGTATTTTTCTCTGAGACACTGAAGACTCCTATGTGGCCTGTGGTTGGTTCCTCAGTCCTCAAAGGGCTCCTTAAGAAAACAGGCACTGGGTCTTGGTGGCCTTGCTGGCTGCTTCTCAGGCTTCTTGAGGCAATCTGGTTAGGATCTCCACGCCTCTTGAAGTGATGAGGACTGTGTGCTCAAACTGCGCAGACCTGAAACACACAGGGGGCGGTCAGGACCTGTGTGCATGGGGACTCTAGGCTCTGGTGTGCCGCCTCCCTTCCCCAGCAACTCAAACATAACAGGGCAAGCACCTTTGGTTGTCTAGGGAGACCACCGTCCACTTGTCCTCCAAGACTCTAAATTCTGGGGATCCCTCAGTGATGATTGGCTCTGTAGGAGAGAAATATTTACTATAGTGGATATCGTTTCAATTTATAATGAGAGGGGAGAGAGAGATTGAGAGATTATAAGGGGGCTCTCCCTCCCCCTGAGTGTTTCACCCACAGTTCCTGTTGTCATCTTGCAAGGGCTGATAATTGATGTTGCTTACATAGTATACTACAAACTAAACAGTAGGAAGAGGAAATGCAGCAGCATTAAAAAATGTATGAAGTTGCCTGGTTCATAATTTTTTAGAGAAAGAAGGGCATTTTAATCAAGCCTTAATTAGGACCCTGTGGATAATAACCACCCAAACACCAGTCCCTCTTATAAATATCAGTCAGTTTTTAAAAATATTTGAATTTTTAAAACACGCTCAAAATGTTCATTAATCAGCAAATAACAATTTTCTTATTTTGCCCTAATTGCTTCTCCATTAAGCCCTACGGTCAGAACTAGGAGGCCTTGGTAGCCCTAGGTGATTGGAATTTGGTGGTGACACCAATCATGCTATCAGCCAGGAATGGGCTACCACAGAGCACATGCCACTTGCTGACAGAGAGCAAGGGACTTAATCGGCTCTAGTTACTGGGTGTTAATAAAAAACAAAACAAAAAAACAAACAGCACATTATGCCGATAACAGAATTAGAGGTTGGATGGCTGCAGTCTCCTAAATGTGTCGGTAAGTATCTGATTTAGGAAGACGGGGCTAGAGGATATTATTTAATCACATTTACTATGCATCCAAATTATTTCATTATGCTGATTAGCTTCATTAGTCCTTTGCAGGACTTCAAGTCTAGGCAAAGGCCAGTTTCTGTCCAGGGGCCCCAGCTCTCCAAAGAGGAGTCCAGCATTTACCTATAGTGAAAGCCATGCCTTCCTCCATGGGCAGGTCATTGTCATTTGCTGCAAAGTAAACACAGGGAGGTATGAGAAAAGGAACCAAGGAGAGATTCGCGCGCGCGCGTATGTGTGTGTGTGTGTGTGTGGGTAATTGGGCTGCTTTACAACATGTGGCCATTGTGCTTTTGGAACGGGTAGGGGGTTCTGGATACCTGGCTAAGCCCACAAGGTTAAACACAGGGCTTGCAGGAGGTAGGGGAGTCTCACTCTATGTGGTATCTGTGTTCTCAGACCCCACCCACTCTAGCAGTTTGGCAAGGCCTGGAATGGGCAGCTAGGGTGCTCCTTCTCTTCCTTGTGTCTGCTATTCCCCAGTGCCACCTGATGCTAGGTCTCCTGGTCTCCCCGAGATGCCAAAGGGCAGCACCTGTCATGTAGGATGGAGCAGGAGGAAGGGGCTCCATTCTTGAACAATTGCATGCACTGAGCGCAGGCTCTTTCCACACTGACAGGGGCCGCTTCTGAGCTGCCTCAGGTGGGGCTCTTTGGCTTAAAGGGGCACTGTTCTGCTGGGTCTCCATGGATGCTCTAGGGAGGTTTACAGTTATTTCTTTCAGGGACTTGTCCTATCTCGAGCACACAGAGCCATACGCAGGACTAACTTTCTCTTAGCCCTCATTCGAATGTGCACCCCCTTGGGGCTCCTCAATGCAGCTGCTTCCTACCTTAACCCAAGTCCTCCCACCCCTCCTGGTTGCTGCCTTCTCTCTGTAGGGTGCACACCCAGACAAGGAAAAACTGGATTTTGGGGAAGGAACACAAGGGTGGGCATAATCCAGAAAACACTAAAGAGTACATGCTGCTAAATACATCAGCTGTCAACGCTGTGTAGGATGTAATGAAGTTTAACCACAACAGTCAGCGGTTAGAAGGGGGTAGAGAAGAAAAACAGAAAACAGTCCTGTGTGCATGCTGCTGGGACAGCAGTGCAGTGACTTTTTCTAGACAAACATCCCCCAGGCCTGCCAGCCATGCATCCTTCAGGAGAAGGCCAAAACCAAAATAAACCTCACTGGGCAAACGTGCTGACCTGTGACCCAATAGCACAGTAACATCCTGGTTAAAATTAAGTAGATAACCCGTATCAGTGAGGTGGGGTAGGAGTGACAATGTGAATTCAAAGCAAAAGAAAAAAACTGATGTCATTCAATAAGTAGCTTCCAAAATAACTCTTACCATGATGCCAAATTTCTGGATGCCCATGAAAGTATGATCCTATCCCATGTCCCACAAAATGTGGACAGACTTGCAAACCATTCTGTTGAGTTATGCGGCTTTAAAGAGACCAAAAGACATCTAATTTAATTAAATGTTTTAATGCATATTAAGATTAAAAATAAAATCACTTAGTCTCTGAGGAAAAAAATCAGTTCTGTGGATGGGGGAGGCAGAGGGAAGGTAGGGGGATGGGAAGAGAGGAGGAAGGGAAACTGGTCGGGATGTAAAATAAATGGAAAGATTTAATTAATAAAAAATAGTTCTATTTCAAGTCTGATGATAGCATTAATGTTTCCTTTATTCTGGAACAATTTTAGTTGACTGATGCTTGTCAATAACTCCTTTTGAATATACGAAGAAAGAAGGTATACATATGAGACTCATTTGAGTACATTTAACAAAGGTTATTTTTAGGCAACAAGTAAACACGCATACACATAAATGTAGACTGATATACATAAGGAAGTTATACACACACACACACCACACACACACACCTATAACATGGTCACAAATATCTTACCTGGTTTTCATGGCGTTATAAACAGTTACTACTAACTCAGGTATTAAACAAAGAAAATTATAATCTCCAAGAATGACTTACTACTTTTATGATTTCCTGTACTCTCATCTAATTTGTAAACAGATACAAAAGACTGTCTGTTTTGACCATTTTCTTTCAAAATTGGTGATCATTTTAAGATTCCCCTTAATAATCATCATTAACAAAGTTCATAAAATGTTTTTATCACAATGGTACTTAAAAAGAGTTAATATTGATCCTAATAACAGATGCAGACATTTTGGGTTCTATCTATCCCTTATCAATGGAATATAGCACATAGAATCCAAAGCTGAAATCTTTACCTGCAAGGATGGAAAGGTTTGTTATTGAGGCCAGGTGTATATGGTTATTTTGAGGATGCCAGACTAATAAAAAACATGTATACCACCAATGATATATACTTTCATGTGGGCAAAGGGCATAATGCTGACAATCTTACCCATAGAAATGGGCAGGTATTTATGTAACCATGACTACAATTCCTAAGAAAGTCAAACAATTTTTAGCTCTCAAACTCATTTCTTTTCTTTCTTTTTTTTGGGGGGGGCGGTGGGAAGCGTTGGTTTTTTTGAGACAGGTTTTCTCTGTGTAGCCCTGGCTGTCCTGGAACTCCATCTGTAAACCAGGCTGACCTGGAACTCCCAGAGATCTGACTCTGCCTCCTGAGTGCTGGATTATGGGCGTGCCCTACCACACCCAGCTTCAAACTCATTGCTAGAATATTCTAGTTTAGCTTCACACACCTTTCTGGCTAACATCTTTATAAGCCATCATATCTACCCACCCTCCCCGCCTTCTTTTTTGAACAGTCTCAGTTTGTTTGCCAGTTTTTGAACTTGCCACTCTCCTACCTATGTATCTCCAGTACTGGGACTACAGGCATGTGCTGCCACACCTAGTTTAATTTTTAAGAGCATTGAAACGCACCCCCAGATTTGTAAGAATCTTCACTTAGACAAGGATGTCCCTGTAACCAGCATAGTGGAGGCAGCATCTCATGGGAATTTAATTTTGGTATAACCAGTAGGGCAGAAATGGATAAGCTATGCAAGTGCCAAGGAGAGGAATAAGCCAAAGTCTTCATCTCCAAGGTTGTGCTATAGGATCCAGGCTGTATTGTAGATCCTTGTGCTCTGGCCAAGAGGTATAACATCTTTCCGAAGGGGCTTCTCCTACTTCCATGCAATTTCTGAATAAAACGGAGGATGGAGTGTAATAGAGGGTTATAGCTGAGGTTATTAGTTTGTTTGTTTATATAAAAATAAGTTCTCCCAACACCTGTACGTTGTCAGTTCAGTCCCAACCACCATCAATAATTTGAAAAGCATTCAGTATACAGCAGTCTAATATTGTCTTTAAAAGAATACTAGTTTTTATTTTTTTTCCTTTAATGATCCTACTGATAGGCAGGCTTCACAGTTCCATCTTAAATGTGTGTTACAATGGTGATCTTCATTTTAATTTCCAATGAGAGGAGAAGAAAGGCCACTCTAAAAACCCCTAGGGGTTTCCCCCTTCACACTTCTCATTCCTCTTCATAAAAGCGGCTGTCTGACTATGAGGTAACTAAAGATATTTTAGTGCCTTCTCCTGCCACGATTTGCTCTCTGGGTCCTGAAGGAACTTCCAGCTAGAGTATCCCAGAATCTGCGTCGCTTATGCAGAGGCTAGAGAATGTCACAGATGCGGGAATGGAAAGAACTGGACAAGTTTCCCTCAGTTCCCTGGATGGACACGTTTGGTTCCCAGAAGCTAAAAATGCACTTCTGTTCAGAGTATTTCCCTTTTGAACATGTAGTTTTCAACATACACTTACATGAGATAAAATTCCATTAATGTTCCCAATTGCTGTTTGAAAACATGCGATTTCAACTATTTTTCGGAACACGTGGTGAGAGCAGGCTCTTCTGGCTGTGGGACTTAAATCTGATTTTGTAAAGACAATCCAAAGCACTAAGCAAACCAAATTCCACTCCTTAGTGGGAAAGCAGATGCCAGTCACCCTGACACGGCATGGGAAGGTGGGGTGTGTATGGTGGGGTGTGTATCTACCTCTTTACAGCAATGTTGGGGGGCAGTCTGGAGGGGGGTCTGGAGGGGCAGGCAGCCCGCTGCAGACCCACAGATGTCTCTCAGCACAAGGGGTTTCTTGCTCTGAACAGTTCAAGATGAAACCTTTTTTTTTTTTCCTTCTTGTTGAAATCTACTGAAAACAACTCGTCCGGTGTTAGGTCTTTGCTCTGATTTTCTCTAGCTAAAACTCTTTAAGACAGGACAATGCCTGGTCAAGAGGCCCGCACCGTTGTGACTGGACTTCAGAGGGAGCCCTGGGGAGAGCAGTAAAGGCAGATTTCTCCCACTTTTCAGTTACAGTCCATAGGTGGAGGAGGGGTGTCCTTTGAGGGTCCCTCTGACCTTTCTTTCTCTTCAGTTTAATTCCCTTTCATGAAGCAGTTAGACTCTACCCACGTCTCGTCTAAATAAACACAATTTCTTAACACATTTCAAGTAACTTATGTGACTAAAACTGCATTCCCCAAGAGGGCAGAGGAGTGCCGTGTTTAAGTACAGGCTCTGAAAGAAGTAAGTTTGCACGTGGGGACGCTTCATCACCATTTTCTTTGAACACGGCTCCAGAGGGCCACATCTCTGAACAGAGAAGGCTCTCAAAAGGCCACTGATTTGATGAGTTACGGAATTTCACTTTAATCTCTGTAGGTTTTCAGCCCAAACAGTAGCCTCTAAATGGAGGAAATGCACAAAGCCAGGGATTCCCTCTAATGACAGGAATGTTTAAGTACAATTAGTCATATTTTTGAAAGCCAACAACTGTTTTCCAATAGATTGGGACATTTTATTTTTTGTTTCAAACTGGATCACAAATTACTGTATTTTTCTTACAATAGAGCTGAACTTTTATTTGAGGTTCTCTGTTTCTGAAAAGCAGACATGATGGATTGAAATAAAAGATAATTTATTGCAATGCTTACTTTCATGTGCAGAGAGACGCAGTGTAATTGTAATTTACAGTAGCTGTCAAGGAAAATCCATCACAGATGACATTAAAATGACTTATTTTGCCTGAGCCACTTATTGTTTAAATGTGCATAATCTAATAGAAAGAGATTATTTTTTAAAAATCTGCTTTGTATTGTTCTAAATTAATATTAAAACATATACTTATGAATTAAACATTAAAAACCATCTATTGATAGTTTCATCATGACATCTCCAACTATAAGTTTAAATTATTTTGGAGTGAACTGTCATAGATTAGTGATGCATGTAGCAGCATATTCATTTTCTTCTCACACATAAGGGTAATACAGAGATTATTGTAAAGCCAATGTGGTTAGAGAGTGGGTATAATAGCACCGTGGCCTGGAGATCACTGGGAGTCACTCATGAAGCCAAAGGGCACAGAGAAAATCGTCTTTGTGAAATCATTTTAACTGACATTTCCTTAGAGACACCCTCCTATTCTTTAGGTTTCTGAGCATGATTTCAAGTTTTCTTGTAGTGACCTCAAGGTTTGGGGTAGCATATAAGGAGTGCAGGTTGCCTGGATGTTCTCAGTGTTCAAAGCAGAGGGAGGTTATGGCAGATGGTGACTGACTATCTTAAAGGAGACTAAGTTAAAAAAAAAAAGACACTTATAAGCCTTTGGTCTGTAAAGATTTCAAGTACTTTTTGGCTCAAAGGTGGATCTCATTTGTTTATTGACTCTCTAAATATCCTTCCTGAATAAAAAAGGCAAACAATAGATGTGCAGAAAATACTGCTTTAACACATCAGGACAAACATTTGTCAGAATCGGGTCCAGTTTCCTCGCCAATGGCAGACATAAACTATCTAAATAATGAAGTGCATTAGGGTAAGAGTAAAAAGTTCATTGTCTGTTATTTTCCACATAGTTTTCTGTGTGCAGTTGTTGGGGCTGATCTGGTTTTCAAAGGAGCCTGTTCATGCAAATTCATACTCTGCCCAAACTGACCTTCGCATCCAGATAGCTAAAATCCAATGTCACTTTGAATTCCACTCTTCTTCTGCTGTTGCTTTTTTTATGTAGCTGGAATTAATGTAGTGAATATGTAATGAAATGCATTATCCTGCATGGAGATTTATCAGATTTTCCGACTGAATGCTGTGCTTTGCAAGGACTAGCTGGAGTTCACCTGCATGTTGGTGTGGCGTGTGGCTCTTTTTTGTAAAGAGTTAAGTCGTATACAAAAAAAGGGAACAAAGGTCAGCGCCCAGCCACCACTTGAATGTGAGATTTTTCTTTTTATTCCCCTTGATGTATACTAGGCTCTGTGTTATTAGTCTTAATGATGGAAAATTGTAGTGTTGATACAAATCTTTTTTTCAAAGTAGTAGGCGGGAGTTCCATTTGTTAGTAAGTTTTTTTTGTGACTAAAAGCCACGGACAGTACATTTATGTAGCAGTAAAAGGCCTGGATGCTCTTTCCATAGCAGAGCTAATTATTCCTACTGTGACCTTACTGATCTAGCCTGTTCCTAGTACATCTCATCTGCACGCCTGTCCCTCTGTGTAGATGGTGTCAGAGAATATGAAAAACCCTATAATGAAACCATTTTCATGATGGAGAAAGGCTACTGGAGTTGCACTTGCTACAAAGAGGCTCAATTATATGAGTAATTGTGATAATTTTCTACATTCATAGCCTTCAATGGGGAAAAAAGAATGAGAGCCACAAAGGAAAATTACTTTAACAAGAAAGTACAGAGAGTAAAAATGGAAGAAGAGACAAAAAGGGGAAAAAATAACCAGAAAAAAAGTTTAAAAAATAGATCTGGAGGGAGGAATAGTGAGACAAGGAGAACAACAGAAATGCTCAAAAGCCCATGTGCAGCTGTGTTGCACAATTAAATTGAATTTTTTTCTGCAGTTGATGAATGTGACTACTGCAAATGTGCCTCTGTAGTTAGCTATCATTTGTTGTTCCGTGACAGGAAAAGGATAATTACCTCTCAGAGAGAATCAAAGGCTGACATGCCCTTTAGACACAGCCATGAATGCAGAGCTCCACAGAATTGCCTGAATAAGAATCCAGTGTTCTCTGCCCCCTTCTACTGAAGAATAAATTTTGTTAAAATGCAAGAGCGCCACCAGTAAATTTGTTGAACCCTAGGTGTTCAGAAATATGAGGTGCATCTATCGACCCATCCCATTTGCAAAAATAAAACTGCATTTTGAATTCATTTCTATTATATTCATGGACAGTAAGATAGTGAGATATGCATTAAATTTCTTTTCCCAGTAGGGGTCTGATTCAACATTTCCTATGAAAGAACAGAGAGACACTATCCTTTTTTCCCAGGCTAGTTAGCCTATAATTTAAAACTGTCAAAAACACAATTTTGTTCAAAGTCTTCAATAAAAGCTTCTCAGATATAACCCAAAGAGATTTTACTAAAGTTTGATTCAGACACTGTTACAATATTTTTAAAGCCATAAATACATTTAACTGATATTTTACTGCCTTTTTTCTTAAAGTATTTGAAGGCGTGCTCAGAGAGAAAGGCAGCGCCTTTTCAAGGTGACTGAGCTTCCCAGCCTTTGGGCAAACGGGAGTGCTCAGAGGCAGGGGCTCAATTAATGAGAATAGCGCTCTAAAGGGGACTGGCCGAGCATCTGTAACAAAATGCGTTACTTTTAAACGAAAACACATAGTCTTCTTGTCTACTCCAAAACATTCAAGGGAAAAAAAAAAAGATCTGAAAGTGGGAAACAGATTACAAAGAAAAGTCTTGAGTTCAGAAAATACACTTACACTCAAAAAGCAAAAAGCACAGGGAAAACTCTGGGGAAAGTAAACAATGTTTCATAGGGAAAATGACCCAGACAAAAAGGGATGCAAAGCGGCCTTGCAGGCTGCTTCTTAATCTGCTAACTTAAAAAGTCAGGCTGCTTTGAGCTCACACTTCTGGTCTTGGCATCACCGAAATGCTTCCCTCACTCCTTATAAAATGGAGTTTTTCTCCTTTCTCACTATCCAAGGGCTGAGACCACCAGCCCCTTTCTTAGGTGTCTTCTTCCACATTGGAGTAAAGGGACATCACAGACCAACATGTCAAGCTAAAACAAAAGCAGCCATATTAACATTGCTCACTACTTCAATAAGTTTCCTTGCTGATCCTGATAAAATTCACTTTTTTTAAACCATTTTTTTTTCAGCCCAGGGAACAACATTGCAGCCCGGCAGTTCATATACTGATATCAGACTGACATGATGGCCGTGAATCATAAAACATGTCATCAACTTTATACCAAGCCACCAATAACCTTTGTACCATTCACCAACCCTCCTTTTACTTGTCAGTGCAAGGCTTACCTGATTGTGTTTCCAATTACAGAGAAGGGGGCCCCAGCTCTGCAAGCTGCAATCGCTTCATCTCTACACCTCCTGGCAACATCTACTAACTTTTTACCACATTCATCCACATTGCCCACCAAAAAGGTTTCAGAAGTGTCTCCATGGTAGCCATTGTAATAGACCTAAACACAGGCACAACATTTAAGGCATGTCCTTGTCTGGAATCCTGTTCTCCTAAAGTATATATACTGTTTATGTATTTAGTAAATTCATTACCTTCTCAGAGTTAATCTCCAGTTCACATATTAAAGAACAAAAAGATAGACTAAAACCATTTTCAAATTTAAAAGCTAAAACCATGTGAGGAGCCTGCAAAATCTAAAAAACGAACAAATGATCAGCTCGGTTACTTCAGCTTTGTGATTAATAATACTATTGTAGCATTTTGATCCCTCATTTTATTTCTGAGAAGGCAAAACTATGCTTGGAGAAATTAGTTACCAAATACATTGACCTGCAATTACCACAGTAGGTTTAGAAAATTAAGTATTTAGCATAGTAAAACATGTCCTTGGTGTCATGAGGATTTACATGCTCTTTTATTTACCAGCTCTATACTTAGAAATGATACATAATGACAATGAGGAATAAGATAGACATGTCAGCACTATAATGGTGGGCAGGAGAATTTCATGCTAAGAATTGAAGTGGTTCGATACAGTAATGAAATATGGTGGAAAAATTCTCCGTCTAGAAACAACATCTGAAATAAATGTTCCAGAAAGTATGATGGTAACAGGAAACACTCGTGTGGATTTTTAAAGAATTAGAATATATCAAAGCAAGCTTAGCAGTAAAACCACAGAAAGATAATTTATCAGTCTTCAGTGACTCAGGAGCTCCATGTGATCTTGAATGACATCAGGTTCATCATGAAAAATCAATGATTAGCAAACACTAGAATACATGTAGAAGGCAGAGGAGACTAGTTGACTCTTGATCCTTGGACTTAACATGGTATTTACTATTTTGCATGAATTTATCATAATTATCTTCCTAGTTCTCCTTGTCCTAAGGTAGGATACAGAGAATCTTATGACAAAAGCTATTTATTGAGGCTTTCTGTTTGAATTAATGCCATTCCTATACATTGGCACACACTGCAGAAGCTCTTAGACAATGAGGAGACAAAAAGTCATCATAGAGACCTCTGGCTCTCAAGTCATGAAACTGAGGCACAGACAACTTGTTTGGGTTACTAGCAGAGTATACCCCAATCAATCTGGTAGATTGTAGTGTTTTCTAATTTAGTCCTACTTATATTCCTTTACAGAAACATGTAAGCTCTTGTCATATACAAGAATATAAAATTTGCTAATATAAGCATAATTACTCAAGAAAAATTGTAACTATGTGTTCTTAAGTAAAATGCATTGCTTAAAATCATTTAACTTGCTGTTTCATATTACTTTAAAATTAAAATATATTAAAATTATCTAGTGTGTGTGTGTGTGTGTGTGTGTGTGTGTGTGTGTACATACACGCCATGGTATGTGTATAGAGGCCAGAGGACAACTTGTAGGAATCAATTCTCTCCTTCTATAATGTGGGTCCCAGGGATTGAACTCAGGCTGTCAGTTTTGGGAGTGAGTGCCTTTACTTGCTGATACATTTCATCAACGTTCTAAACGGTTACCTTTTCAATAGCATTCAATACATATGGAATACAATGTGTGTATGTGTTACTGGGGATTGAACTCAGAACTCTGCACAGGAAGAAGACACTTTTGAAAGACTGGGGCAATCGACTATAACTATAACTTGTCCCCACAAACCATTCTCACCCTTCGTTAACGAGCATTAAGTGAGCAACTACTATGAACACCACATTGTCATAAAAAATTAACTTTCAAGAGAAAAAGCAACTCATTTTCTTGTGGCACATAGTAGACATAAAATGCAGTGGGTTATTTCCAACAAAAATACAAGAGCTAGAAATACAGTTCTTCAGTTAATAAAATATTTCATAAGAAATACAATTTTTTGATACTGACCAATATGTCTCTTAGACTCCTTTGTATTTCTAGGCACTAGAAAGTATTTCAAGTGAGTTTAAGGATTGTTGGAATAATTTAAGCTCCAGAAATGAAATTCTTTATTAAAAGCCTTAAGGAAACCCAAAAAGGAAAAATGCGCTCTCTCTGGGCATGTTGGGAACAGCATGGGAGACATCCCATCTCATTCGAGCAGCAGTATCTTATTAGTGGGTGATTAGGTGAGGTAGTAAATGTGAGACCCTAAAATGCGTCACAAGAGAGACTTTATTTCAGGTGCACTTCACGAAGCCTCCCACATGGCTGAGTGGGAAAGACCCTACCAGGGTATGTGATGTGACACTCAAGCATTCTGAGACACAATGACATGGGATGTGATATGAGCAGGAATTGTTTGGCTGTACCTCTGCACTGGCTACTCTGAAGAAACAAGGCTGAATTAACTTAAGCAACGGAAAATCTAACACAATCTACTGGTGCCTATTCCCATGGTATTCCCACTGCTACCCGACTTTCAGCCTGGATATAAAATAACTATTATTAAAAGTATTTACTCTCTAATGGAGAATGTGTTTTTCGAATGGCACCATCTCCAAGAGTCCCTGCCAGATGTTCACATTTTATTTATCTACAAGTTATTAATTAGTCATAGATGCACAGATTTTATTTATCCTTTGTACAAGTCAAAAGGCACTATTACAGATAATTTGAAATGAAATGAGCACAAATAATCCAAGTTTGAGGAAGGCGAGAGGCTAAGGAAATCAGAAAAGGTTACGGCGTGTACAATTTGCAGTTCCTAAGTTAAATCACTTAGGCTTGTTATTTAAAAAGAAAGGCAATCAACCGTTTGGTGAAAACTTAAATTCAGACAGAAGAACCATTCTGCTTGTGTGCTTTGAGCTCAGGCCTCTCTACACCAGAGATGGAACACAACGTTACCTTCAGGGATTTTAATAAATCTAGGGAACACTGCTAGCAAAAGAGTTGCTGTCCAAATAGACTGACACGCAGGCCAATGTAGCCCCTAATGACAGAGTAAGATAATGACAGGCCCCACTCAAAATCAGCAGGAAGAGGAAGATCAATCTTGGCAGAGTGAAGGAAAATGCTGGCTTTCTTAGTGTTAGCCCATCTCATACATATCTGGCTTCAGCAGCTGTCTAGTGCTATGGTGTGCTCTGCATTAACTACACAGTGGATCAATAACAATTACACCTTCTCAAAAACATGACACATAGCAGGATTGGGCTGACATTTCACTTAGGCCAACATTGATCTCAGTGCATCTGATTCCAGCCCGAAATTCAAGTCAGGCCTGGGTTTACTTGGAATAAACACAGAGTTAAAGACAAAAAAGGAAACCAGCTGCTTGTGCCCGGGGCTGGAAGTAAACAGCACTCCCCGAGCGCAGTTCACATTTTCAAGCCACTCTCCTTCCTGTTGCTACTAGTAATTCTCAAGTTGATCAAAGATGATTTTTTTATATGATTTACTCACCGTGACATCAATGTTGATAATGTCTCCATCCTGAAGAGGTCGGCTGAAACATAAACAGAGAAAAAAGGTGATAGACAGATCTCAATAAAAAGAAATGTGAAAATAAACGCCCAACAACTACTATTGAAACCCAATGAGCTGCCGCAATAATTTGTAGTGAAGCAGGAATGGATGGAGTAACCAGATATGACCTTTGTCTTATGTTAATCACACCACACATTTTATAAGAAACACAGGAAACAAATATTGCTGCCTTAAGATTTCATGATTCTTTAAAGAGATATACTTCCTAATTACCTAAAGTTTGTAAACAGCCAAAACAATAGCAGTCAATAAAATTTGCCTCCATTACCATATGGTAAAAATTGAATAAGTTAAAAGAAATAGATAACATATAAACATTTTTCGTGTTATATTCATGTAGAAGTAAAATGCCTCAAAATTTTTGTTTTATCTTAATCAATTTCAGAAGCATACATGCAGGCAGGTTTCAATTGAACTACAGTATTTTTCAATATGTGCTATGGATCTTAGTTTCAAAGGAACAATACATTATTGAAAAATGAATACCTGTCAGGAATGCCATGACAGAGCACGTTGTTAACAGAGGTACAAACAGATTTTGGAAAGCGTCCATAGCCCAGAGGTGAGGGATATGCACCATGACTGATGATTTCCCGATGAACTAGTACGTCTATCTCTTCTGTTGTCATGTCAACCTGAAATATTAATGAAGTGTGCAGCGACAGTTGAAGACATTTCCTGTACTTATTGACTGTGTCTACAGCAACAGCACCGCCAAGGTAAGGCTGTATGAATTCACCTGGATGAATTCATGGTGTAACAGTAATTATTCGTGGCTCTCGCCACCATCCTCAACCATGCTCTTCTGAGGGTATGTGACGGTGTTATGTACTTCTAGGACATAGAGTGTGTCATTAAATGACGACTCCTGTTAGCCCGATGATTTCAACAATACGTCTTTCATCAATTCCTTCCTCTTCCTCAAGGGTCAGAGCTCTGGATAAAGGAAGCGTGCTATCGGAACGCTGGCTTAGAGAGGCTGGAGAGGAAGCTCTGCCCACACCTTTTTATCTTGTTGCCACAACGCATGGGTGAGCTTGGCAGCAACGGCAGGGAGGTGATGAACCATCATTTAAAACCCCGTCTCTGACTCCCTTCATAGAAATTCTATTTTCAATAAGCTCAATTTCTTTCATGCCTAGGTAAATATATTTTAATGTTTCCCATACAGGAAAATACCCAATTATTTTCCAACAAAGATAGCTGGAATTGAGGGATCTTGTTTTGTTTCTGCTTCGCACTGCTGGGGATTGAACCTGGGGCCTCACCTATGCTAGGCAGTTCTGCTGTTTAGCTATACCCCAAGCCCAGAAACTGAGTTTCACAAGCACATGAAGACTATCTCCATGAAACCATACCACAAATAAAATTCTATAGCAAAGTAAAATTATTCAGTGGATGCTAACTACTCCCTCAATAATTTCCTGTGTTACTTTATATTCACCTTATGCTTTGTTATGTTGCTATTAACAGAGTAGTTACACAGGTGACATAGTGAGTAAATTCACAATTGAGTCCCCACTTTGAGGCTGCATTTATATTTTTTTTATGAACTATAGATGACAGGATGTTTTGGGTGATTGGGTGATTCTGAAAGAACTGACTCTCACAGCAGGAGAAACACACACACACACACACACACACACACACACACACACAATCACCATGTTACTGTGGCTTTGTGTATTGAGCCTACCCTTTCTTTGCAGGGCACATTGAAGAAAAGAGGAGGCAGAGTAAAAGATAACAGGTAGGACCAACACTCTCAACACATGGAGGCAAAGGGAGAAATACAAGTAGAGCCCAGAGGCAAGGCAGCCAAGTCAAAGTCCTCTGCCACAGAGCACCCAGGATAGGCTGAGTCAGCCGAGTAGCTCTAGAGTTCTGCCAGTTACAATCGAATTTAGAAGTTTACATCCTTTCTTGAACACACCAAATGGTAAAATTCCCTTTTCCCATCTTAAGGCTTTACTTTAAAAATCAAGTTATTAATAGATGAGTGCAAAGGAGTTAAAGAGAAAGGGAGAACAAGCCCTGTGTAGGTCATGCTGAGGCTTGGGTAAGATACCACCTTTAAGCTCTTCCCAGCCAGCAGAAGGATATGCCGGGCCAGCTGACAAGCCTCCCGAAGCCCTTGGATCTGATCTTCATTCTTAACTTCTATGCTGTCTCCCCAGTCGGGCACAATGCCTGTCGTCACATAGTCTGGCTTCTTTATGTGCTTGAGGAAAAAGGATTGAAAACGAAGATCAGAACCCAGCACATGACAATGGCATCATTTTTTTCGGACACAGCCTCCTGCTTCATGGAGTTCTGCCCTTCCTGCCAAAGCACCGACCTCCAAAGCCAGCACAACAGACCTCCAGGCTACCCCCAGTTCCTTCCCCTGCCCTTTTGAACTTAACATCGCCTGGAAGTGCTGCTCTGGATAGGGCTGTTAATCTCACCAGGCTTTGAGTCGGGTTCTGCTGAAGTAGACTTCTGGTCAAAACAAACAGCAGTTTTCTGTCCTTTACTCCACCCGAGCCCATAAGAAGCATAGCCCACGTATGAAAAAGCACAATACTTAATTAAGAAACAATCTCAACTTCTTCAATCAATGATAAAATGCATGCCAAGGACAGCTCTCAACATGCTCTCCCAATGAGTCCATGTGAAAGGGCATCAAGTTCATGGACCTGCCACGTACACATTCTATACTAGGTGAGCTGACAACAGCTCCAGACAAAACAAAACAGCTCGTTTTCTTCATGTCTTCTCTAAGGACAATAAAATTACCTAGAATGTTTCCATCATTTATCAAAAAAAACAAAGAGCTTGCTCCTAACCCAAAGTCAAACATCCAGCCTTGATGCCTCCTGTGGCTGGTTCTCCTGCACTGAAACCCACTGATGGTTCTTGGGAGGTAACACTGTATTATACACAGGGCTTCTGTCCACCCCAAGGTCTGCAGGGCCCTTCCTGAGCCTTTTACAGCAATGCTACATAAGACTGCTGACCATAACACAGTAAGGCTACACAGAAGTTTGGGCCCGGGGTCATCCTCCAAGCTCTCCAGGGTTTGGGGGACCTTGGGAAGGGGGGGCTCTTGTGTTTGTGAAGAGGACCAGGACAAACCTTAGGATCTCTTGTTCCACTGTTCAGAAGGGTTTTTCTCTTTCCCTTATCTGTTTGCTATTGAGACAGAGTCTCTCACAGAACCTGGAGCTCATAGTTCCCCAAAAGCTCCAGGGACCCACCTGTGTCCACATTCCCACTCCCCAGAACTAGAATTACAAGCATATACCACCAGTACCAAGGGTTTTATGGGTACTGGGGATATGAACTCAAGTTCTTACACTTGTGTGGGTCCTGGGGATCTGAGCACAAGTTGTTACACTGTGTGGCAAAAACGACCAAACCATCTCTCCAGCCCGAAAGGGCTTTTGTTAGTTGGGTAATAGAATGACCTGGCTGTTATAGAGCCCTGAAGAAGCATCTCCTCTCCTCCAGTCACCTTACCAACTCCCACAGCTTACCAGGTGTCCCCCCAACAAGCCTACGTTCTTATTTCTGCTCTGTGATCTGCCTTGGTTATAACTGTAGGCTGTGGGCTGCCCATTTGTCTCCAGAACTTGCTAAAATGCACAATACAACACATTACTTTTACCTAGAGGCGTGTGTGTGTGTGTGTGTGTGTGTGTGTGTGTGTGTGTGTGTATGGCTGTATCTGTGCATGTATGGTTACGCCTATGCAGTCATATGGATACAGACACACATGTGTGCAGAGGTGTGGAGACCACAGGATGGTACCTGGCGTCTTCCTTAGCTGTTCTCCACCTTGTTTTTGTTTGTTTGTTTGTTTGTTTGTTTGTTTTTGAGGCAGGGCCTCTCACTGAATCTGGAGCTCACTGACCTGACTAGACCGGCTGGCCAGGGTACCCTAGGGATCTACCTGTCTCTGCCTCCTCTCCCCAGCTCTGGTTTGTTTTATGTGGGTGCTGGAGATGAGTGCAGGCCCTCAGATCTACAGAGCAAGTACTTTACTAACTGAACAATCTCCCCGGCCTCTAGAGATTTCTCTTTGTTTTTACCGAGGAAAAATAACGCTAATTTTATGACTAATACCACATTCTGGCTCTCTCTATGATAACCAGATCTAAACCAAGATGGGACTTTTGGCTCTTTTGTCTCCAAACCTTTGTTATAAACATGGACTGCTCACCTTTGGGAGGTGTGCTCAATGTGGTTCACAATAAAGAAAAGTGTAAAAGAGCAGGTGGTTTTTGTGACAAGTCTGTTTTTCTTTTAGTTATTTTCCTTCGTCTTAAGGGACCCATTACACCGTCTTTGCATTTTCAAAGGCAGAGAGATGTTTTTTCCACAATAATGAAATCTTTGGTGGGGGAATCAAGAATGCTCTGGCTTTTATTTAATTTATTCTAAAAATTTTATTCAAAGACAGTAGTATTAGTAACATAGAAAGTTTAAGGACTTGAAAACATCCAGTATGTTAATTTTCATGAATCTCTCTTGAATCAATCCAATTTTATAGTCATTTTCCCTAAAAATAAAGTCATGAACTGTATACACAGCAGTTTTAGCTTCGTGTTAGAAATCTAACACACACACACACACACAAAATTTCATGATTAAAAGTTGAAATTCCAAATAAGCTAAGCAGTTGTTTGACCAGACCTTTACTTTTGTTTTAAAAGATATTCTAGAACTGCAGGATGTTAAAATAAAATGGCTCCCATCACAATCTGAAATCATAAACCAAGTTTTAAATTCACGCTTCAAATGCACTTGTACAGTCCACCTTTGCCCGCCAGAGAGAGTAGCAGCCCGGGAGCAGTACAGTACCTTGGGGACAGGATGTGCAGGAGAAACAGCAGCCGGCGAAACTATACTGTGGGAGACATCCCTTTGTCTCCAGAAAAAGAAATTTCTTCTTTGTTGACTGCCTGACCGCTTGTGTAAGTAGAGATGATTGAGTGAAGGTAAAATTCTCTGACAACCTATGAGCAGAAAGAGATGTATTTTGGATTAAGAGGAAAGAAAAGACATTAACAGTGTTGCCCTTGAAGGTGTTGTACCTATTAAATCATTAGTCTCATTCTTTATTGACTCAAAAAAGGAAGCCCCAGAGAAAAGGGAGCAGTAGTATTCTGGTACAACAGTAGCACACCGTTTTGACTAACCAGCACTGTTTACATAAATTTCTGACAGTGGAGAGTTTTACTCTAATAGGAAATAAACATATGGAAAGATCTGCCCCACAGCAGGTGTGGAAAAGAACAATTTCTGCTTTGGTACCTTGCGTGACGATGTCCAGATAACCCTAGAATTCAGGGCACTATTTTGGTGGCTCTATACTCTTTAAAACTATTTTCCCTTCAAAAGCCACAGACAAATTGCCAGCTGCACTTTTGGCCTCCATGGGATTGCGACTGCGTGTTAAGTTCTTGTGCATGAAGGCATTATACCAAAATTCACTGTGATGAATGCTTGAGTTAGACCAAATAGCAAAAATGTAGGTATAACCAATGAAAACAAACATATGAATTTAGATATACTTATTAAAATATTAAGAGCACATCTTTGACTCAGCAATTTATCTCTTCAGACTTTATCTCACAGATAATATGCGATGGTGGATGTATGGAGCCGCACCCTTACTTAGGTATTGTTTGGGTAGAAAATTGTGAAACAGCCTGATTTCAAATGGAAAGTAACAACAAAGGATGGGCTGAACATATAATACGGTCTATCTACACAACAGGAAATTCTGAAGCCATTAAGAAGAATGAAGCTAACTATGGTAGTGTACATCCATAATCCTAGCACTTGGGAAGCAGAGGCTGGAGGATTTAGCTCCAAGTCATTCTCACATGCACAGTGAGTTTGAGGTCATCCTGGGCTACACAGGACTATTTCTCAGAAGAGTACAAGGAGGAAGAGAAGCTAAGTGGTCTCTGCGTTGATGGGCAGAGACCATAAGACACTGTAATGGAAAAAAGCACATACTGAGCAACATATATACGAAGCCGGTTAAGCAGGGGCAGGGGGTGGACATGGTCAAAATACATTGTATACATGTAAGAAACTAATAAAGAATAAATTAAAAAATCACGTTAAAAAAGAAACCCATTAGTGTAACACAAGCTTACACATTTATTTATATAAGCTTGTATATGTCTACACATTGCCAAAATAAATATTCATCAATAGTGGGAAAATCTAGAGTGTGTGATTAGGGCAGGAGGTGGGAAGACTTTGATTCGTTTTATTTTCTTATACACTGTTAGCTTTAAGAACCACACACTTCTCAAAAAACAACAAAAAAAGTCCACTTCCATTACTATTACAATAAAAGTAATCGTTTAGAAAAATCTCCCACAGCCACAACTATACGACAAGCTGGCAAACTCCGGCCTAGAGGCCAAATCTGGCCTGCTGCCTGTCCTTAATACAGCTTAACATCAAGCAGTGGGTTTCTACATTTATAAGTGGTTGAAAAAAATCAGAAGGAACGGTATCTTGTAAGGTGAAATTCAGATGTTGCTGTTCACACCTACCCTGAGTTGTTACAACTGGTCATGACTGTTTCTAAGCGGCGGCAGGGCTGATCAGCTGTGAGAAACACACACAGATGAAAGGCCAAAACATCGACCTCTCAGCTCGTCTCAGCCGCTGCTGACTTCACAGCTGCTCTCACCATGAGGCTCCCAGGCCAGGAGCATCAGCCATGTGGGAAAAGAGAGATTCTTGGGGGCCCTCCTCCAGGGAATGAGGGGAGCTGGACTTTCTGGAGCTCAGTGGTCTCCCAGCACTCTGTGGGAGAACTGCTGGCCCTAGAGTCACTCTTGGCTGTGAAAACTGATGGAGGACTGATCCCCAAGGTCAGCGCTGCTCATGAACTGGGAAAAGGCATGAGATTCAACAGGCAAAGTTTCACTCAGTTGTGTTTTTCTATCAGTTTGAACTCAGTACTGTTAAATCAGGAATTTTGGGTAGTATGTGTACTAGTGTATGACACATATAATGTTGACTAGCACATATTAATGTTATTTACATTTATACTTTTCTGCACTGCTGGGAACCTAACCCAGGGCCTTGTACATGGCAGGTTACACCCTCACAGAATGACATCCCCAGCCCCACAGGGCCCTAGTATTATTTTAGAAATTTCCAAATACCAAACAAGAGGCCAGAATACCATTTCTTTCTTTCTTTAATGGTTTGCTGTTTTTATTTTGTTTTAATTTTTTGAAATGGGACTTTTGTCTGTTAACCAGGATGGTCCTGAACTCCAGGGCTCAATGTTTCTGTCTCAGCCTTCTGAGAAGTTGAGAGTATATTCCCAAACCACCACACTTGGCTCTAAAAGGGCTTGACTCAGCCAGGCACAGTTTTCCTAGTTTTTAAAGTATATTTTTCTAATGAGGAGATGGGGTGATAGCCTAGTAAGTAAACATGAAAATTGAGTTTGACCCCCAAAAACAACATAAAAAGTCATGTGTAAGCCGGGTAGTGGTGGCACATGCCTTTAACTCCAGCACTTGGAAGTTGGAGGCAGGCAAATCTTTGTGAGTTCAAAGCCAGCCTGGTATACAAAATGAAATCCAGGAGCGCAGGGTTATACAGAGAAACCCTGTTTCACCACCCTCAAAAGTCCTGTGTGTATTGAGCATATGTTATCCCATAACTGAGGAGACTAGTGAACTTCTGGGGCTCTCTGGTCAGCTAGCCTGGCCAACGTGGTAAGCTTTAGTCCAGTAGGAGACCCTGTCTCAAAAAGGGATGGGGGACATGGTAAATGAGGAACAATAATAAACATTGTCTTCTAGACTCCACTCACCGTCCCCACACATATAACCACACACAGGTATTTCCATAATGATGATAACTCCAGCCCTGGGATTGCTAGGTGAGAGTTATGGGATTTTTGGTTTTGCAGTCCTGGGGTTTGAACCCAGGGCCTCGTACCTGCCAGTGTTCTACCACTGAGTTAAGTGCCCAGGCCTTAAGATTGTCAGTTGAAGCTTGGCATGGTGTGTTCACCTTTAATCCCAGTACTCTGGAGGCAGAGGCAGACAGATCCTTGAGTTAGAGTTCAGCCTGGCACTGGGGGCCTTGCTGTGTCACACAGTGCACCCTTTTGTCCTGTGGGCTTTACCAGCCCATGCTCATTGCAGTGAGTCACTGGTCAGGTTCAAGGCCTGTGGTTTCTGGTACACCACCATTACTGTATCCTCACCAGAACTCCTCTGGGATATCCTGTGACCTCCCCAAGCCTTGGAGATCCTCTGGGTATCAGGACCAGTCCCTTTACAAGCTCCAGCAGGTCCTAGATGGGGTAGATGCTAGGATTGGCCAACCCAAGGCCAGGCTGTAGGCTTAGGTCAGATCAGGTCACTGGGGCTACCCACCTCAACACATTCTATGCCCTCTGGGTTGGTTAACCCTTGCCTGTAGTAAGGGGTAGAACCATTTCTCCAGAGTGCAGGGGCCAGCTCTCTTGCTGAAGTGTCCAGCAAGAAGCAAGGCCAGCTTTCCCAGGGCCAGCAAAGTGAGCATGGGGATTCTTACAAAGGAAAACATTCAGAGATTCAATCCATTATCATCATGGTGGGACAGAGTGCAGGCAGACATGGTACTGGAGCTGAAGCTGAGAGTCCTATATCTTGCAGGCAACAAGTAGTCTGAGTGTTACACTGAGAGATGCTTGAGCAAAAGATACCTCAAAGCCCGCCCCCACAGTGGCACACTTCCTCCAACAAGGCCACACCTCCTAATACTGTCTCTGTCTTTGGGCACCATTTTCTTTCAAACCACCACACTGTCTCAAACAAACAACAATAACAACAACAAAGATTGTCAACTGATATCTGAGGGGTGGAGTGCCCTAGGGAAAGTAGAAGCTTAGAACTTAGAAGCCTGGAAATCTATCTCAACTCTACTACTTGCTGGCTCTATGTTCCTGAACCTGTTTCTTCTCTAGAGTCTCAGTGAGAATTAACTGGAATAAGAAATGTGAAGTGTGCTGCATTTAACAGATGCCCAATAAACAACAGCTTCTTCAAGGACATTTGGAAATTAAAATGTGAAATAAAATTTAAACTCCACTAACCAGCTTTTAATACTGCATACTATTTGTGTCAGTTACTGAACTAGGCACTTTACATATGCTAGCTCATTGATCTTCATAAAAGTCCCACGAGTTCAGAACTGTACCACATTCATTTTTAATTAAAAAAATTTCCTTTACAACTTAATGCATATGAATGGTTTGCTTGCACCACATGGTGCAGTGCCTGCAGAAGCCAGAAGAGATTTTGGATCCCTAGAAATTGGAGTTACAGATGGTTGTGAGCTCGGAAGTGAGCCCAGATCCTCTGGAAGAGCAGCCAGTACTTCTAACTATTGAGCCACCTTTCCACTCTCTGTTACTAAGACACCAAGTATAGAGAGGGCTATTCAGTAAGGACCAAAGCTGAGAAGTTCCCCCAAAGGGCATTACATCTCTCTGAGGCATTTCACTAAACTTAGATAATACATGGAAATAGAAAATAGATACTGCAGAATTTTTGTTCATGGATATTATATTTCCAAATGTGTCACTGGGCTGACCAAACCCCTTTCTCTGACGACACATGCTTCAGTGAGGCAATTAGGCAGTAATATGGGATGGAAATTTTGGAGACTTGGGTGGAACCAGTCTGACTCTGGCTCCTAGTCGAATCCTTAGGCAGGCCTGCACATAAGGTGCTGTGTTTCCATCCCAAGGAAAGTGCGTACTACAATTACAACTAATAACATCAATACCAACAAGAGTGCAGAGGTTCAGACAGGTGTGGTGTTGCTCGCCGTTGATCCCAGCACTGGGACACAGAGACAGGTGATTTTCTGTGCCTCAAAAACAAACAAACAAACAAATAAAAGGAGTGTAGTGACTCAGACTGAACAACCACTTTTTGATGACACTGTTAAGATGCTCACTGTATCACATGTCGCC